AATAAAATTTTATAGGCTGCTGTGTAAATACACACAGAGTGGTTCTTATGTGGTTTCCCACAAAAGTTGCTCTAGGCTTTCATCTGGTGCAATTTTCACTGAGTTCCATAATGACAGGTTCCACAAAGGCACCCTCATTCATTTTTAGCTCTACCGATCCAAAACAGAAAAAAATCAGAAGAGAACAGCCAGTATCTAAAACCAGACTCAGAAACAAGAACTTCTGCTGGTAAATCCTGTCTCCACACACTGGGGACTCATCAATATAACTATTGAAAAACTGTATGTATAGACAAATATTTAGAATGCAAGTGAATGGAAATAGTTTCAGGCCCATGAGGCAAGGTGGATGTGACTGGCAGCAAGAAATCAAGTAATTTTACGGTACAGGTCAGTTTAACCAGATCAAAGGGACTAACTAAGCACAAAGGCTCAGGATCAAGTGGAACCTCCCCCACAGCAGATAGCCAGCTGTTCATGTGCAGCTTTGAAATGTTCTGGATGAAGTCAAGTAACAACTTCACCAAGCTAAGCAACTAAAATCAACGTGAGTTGAAATGAAGTCTAATGAGTTTGCTGTGAAGATACTATCCCTCAACAAAAGAAATTTAATAAAGCAGATGCTCTAGAGGATAAAGAAAAACTTATTAAGCAAAATTAGAATGATTCGGTTAGAAGGAACTTCATCTCTGTCTGAGCTGTATTTTTGGTTAATTGGAGGCTATTGAAATCATAAACAGAAACATAAACAAGAAATGTGTATTTCCTGTCATGACCCTTCTCCTGATCACTGTAGATTACCTTTCTATGACAAAATTCTGCACGACAACCCCCTCTGACATCCAAAAAAAATCCAAGAAACAAACAAACAAACAAACAAACTGTTTGTAGAAGTATGCATAAAATAGTCCTTTGGCAATATTCCACCTTTTTATAGTAAGAAGATCATGCTCTTCACTCTGCTGTACTGCCCAGCTCCTACAGAGAGGGATTTTAAAGCCACGTTGCCTCAAGGTGTAATTACCTAGGGAAGTTGTTGAAGTCAAAGTTCTATATAGAAGCCTTTTGGCTTAGAACCTAACCAACTAATCCTCATGCTTCTGCCACTCTGTATAGTAGATTGAATTTAGGTAGCATTCTGTTTATTGACTGTCAATTGAGATATACAGATTGTGCTTACATGTGGCAAGTTAAACCTAGATGTAACCATTTTTTCTAGTCAAAACAACCATGGTGTAGAATTATCAGGAAGTATGTAAACACTGTTAAGTGTTGTGATGATGTTTATGGAGCACCGATATTTGTCTCTAAAATTTAATCAGGAAGGAAGTTTTTTTGAAAAGATGACTCTCTATAGGAATGCTTGCATTTCAAGTAATTTAATCTTGATCATCCGCTTTGATTTCCAGACTAACAGAAGATAAGAGGCTTTGTATAAAGGAAAATTTGGATATGAATACAGTGATGAATCTGGCAGAGGTACACCTTGCTTTATAATTTCAAAGCTTTCTTTGTTTTCTACCTTATTTAACTTCTTCTGTTCTGCTTCCTATTCAGATGTTCCTCCCATTCAAATGTTGTCTTTTTTTTCAAAGTACTGTGAGCTTTATTTTTCGTTCTCCTGTAACATCCTGAAAAATTGTTCTGCAGTACAGCTTTCTAGAGAACAAAAGCACACTGTTGAAGCATTCTTTTTCCTTCATGACTGTATTTTATATCATTACAATCCAACTCTGAGTAATAATAAATGAATCTCCTAAGGTTTCTCTAATTACTGTTAGGCATTCTGTTGAACGTTACCTGAGTCCTTTGTGGGAATCAACTTGCAAGTAAATACATATTAAACCATGGGTTTCAAGGGCCATATACAGACATAACCTTTATAAAGATTTAGAAAGGTCAAACAAACTGCAGTCACACTTCTTATGACCAAGTGAAACACAATGTAATACATGAGGTAATGCTGCCACAAACCAGGTCAGTCTGTCCCTTGGACACTTACCAGTGTGCTGTTTGCTCTCAGTCCACTGGGCCTGATACGTGCTAAGCTTCTGGAGTCTGAAGAGACTCCAGGTGCTTCATTTGTGTTTGTATTGGGAGGTGCAAACTTTAATGCTCCCTTCTGAAACTGAACGTACAGTTCAACAATCTGATTCCTGTGCCTGCTGTTGGCTCTTCAGGCTTTTTTTGTTACAGCACACTTTTGAGAAGACTTTGACATTTGGTGATATATTTCAGTTTTCTGGGCATAAAACAGATGTGAAGGCAAAGACTTACTGAGCCACAAAAGAACTAAAATATGACCTGTCTTTACTAACAAGGTAGCAGATTTAGTGTTTAGAAAACAGTATCTAAAGGCAATTATTTCAGATTACTAGAAGTCTATCTGTAGGAAAAATCCTCCCTTTAGATTTAGAAACAGAAAAAATATACCTGTAGGACAAGGAAAGTGTAGCGAGAAGTTCTTTATTGCAGCGTGCTGGGTGCGCTCCAAGTCACATGGACCTAAAGGCACACCAACCGTTTGAAAATCGCGCTTTTTGTATTCTTTCGGTTATATAAGCTGTTAAATATTCAGTGACCACCGGTTTTTTACCTTAAAAGGTAATTTCTTGGACTCAGGAGGGGCTATTACCTTCCCTCTTGATTGATTTGTGACGTATCCCTCTGTACGGTACGGGGGTCTCTCCATACACAATGGACAGCCACGTGGCAGAGGATACATTTTTATTTTTATACTTTTCCCTATTCCGGGCCACAAAGGTTCCCTGGTGTCAGGCCCAGACAGGACCCTCCACCTTACAGCTTTCACTGTACGCCTAAAAAAACCCTTGGAACTCATCATGGCTAGGCTTTGCGAACGAAACCCCACCCCCTTCTGTTTTTCCACTAAATTCATTTGCTTATAATAAAACCAGGTTATTTATTTCTCATATATTTGTTCAATATTACAGGACTTCTTCCTGCAGTTCTTCTACCTGCTTTGGGTGAAAATGCCCTTGTAGGTTAGTTCTTATTATTTTTTAAGTTTTCAGCCCCTCTTCCAAAATGATAACATTAGAACTGTTTAAGGCAGCAAGATATTACAACAGAGAAAGATTCATAAGGACAAATGCTTACAGTGCTCATGAAGTGATGATTCATTTTTATTGAGACATTTTACAGGCTGACATTTCAGAAAAACTTTCCTACCAGGAATATATCTTCTCTCCTAGTTTCTTTGCCTCCTTTTCTCTCTCCATTCTTTGCATGATAAATGAAAGGACCTCTTTTTATTCTTCTCCTTACTCAATATATCCTGTTCTGAAGGCTACCAAGGCATCATTCTTAGGGTTATGATTTTCAGAATTTTTTCCCTCAGTTCAAAATTTAAGCTTTGCTGAGCAGACAGGTATGAGCCTGGAACCATTTTCTGCTGTTGCTGAATGAAATGTCAGATTCTGGATGCAATCCCATCTGGTCTGCTTGTTGAAGAATTTGTCCAAGATATTGCAGTCTTTTTCAGACAGTAACAATAATTTCAGACCTTTTTTTCAGGGGTGATCCTTGTGATCTTGTTTAGCTCTATGGTTAGTGAACCTGAGTAACTCAAAAGATTGCTCCAATGAGTTTTTAAAGTTGAAAAGGTCTGAAAGGTCTCTGTTTCCAAGACCTTTATAAAACTATTCCTCCAACTATTTACATTGTTTATAGTCACAAGAGAAAATTTTTAAGGAGTCAGAGAGGAGTCAAGGTGACCAGATAAATGTGTCTGACCAAAACTGACTGCACCCACAGGAAAGAACAGTTAAACTTCCAGCACTTTTTGCTGCTTTTCTTCTATTTCAATTTTGCTGGTGTGTTTGTCAGCATAGCAAAGAACATTGTTCTCAGATATCAAAGGGAATAAAAGAAAATAAATTATTACTCAAGCATTTAGAGACTGATCCTGTTAGCTACTGGGCTGAAAGCCTCTTAAAAAGGGCTAAAACCTTCAGCTCCTTTTGATTTGATTAAGTGCACTAATCATCTGTTCAACTGGAGTCAGGAGAGATCATGGTACAACCACTTCACAGGCTGTTCTCTGGATCACTCTGACCAAAGCCATGGCAAAGTCACGCTGAGACAAGCACCTGTCTGAGGCCCTGAGCTGAGAAATTGCTCCTTGGGAACCAGGTTAGCTGTCAGTTAACAACCAACTGTTGCTGCTGCCACCTTTAACCAGAAGGGGGGCACGGGAAGTGACCAGCTCTAGGGGTGAGGTATCACCAAGAAAGCATGCAACATCTCTGCTTGTAACGCTGGTTGGCTACGTGCCCCACTGGGGATTGAACCAGTTGTTCTGGGAAAATATGAATTCTAAATTCCTTGGAGATGTCTAGAAGAAAGTATTTCAGTTAAAGCTGCTTCAGAGTGGCACATCTCGTAAATAATTCAGTACTTTTAGCCTTTAGGAAAATGTCTGTAGTTTGATTAAATATTTTAGATTAGAGAAGTGTTTTTCCTGTTCTTGAGTTGCTGGATTTAAGCACCTTTTGAACTGAACCAGAAATGTGTTGAGTCTCTGTTAACTTTGGCCCTTAGGTGTTCTCCACCAAAATATATTTTATAATTCTGTACTAGTAAATGCCACCATGGTAGAATAACTTTCTTTAATGTATCCACATAGTAATATTTAGGGTATATAAAAAGTCTTTGGTTTTAAAGACTTTTCCTCAAATCAAGTAGCTACAGTAAAAAGAATGATTATTCATATGTAATAGGATGAGAAATTGAAACACAGAATGACAAGCCAAAAATCTTTAGTCATGTAATAATCTTGCAGACCTATTAAAAGCACTCATTTTTCAAGGATGGTTGGCATCTACATGGCTTTAGTAGTTCTGGGTAGTCCTCCAAAACTTATGTCAACAGGTCTGGTACTGAACAACAAATACTGGAGGTACAAAGTATAAATTACTTTTTTCCTCCCAGGATTCATTTCATGATCCTTGTCCTGTTTTCTAATGAGCAGACCACACTTTTCTGGAAACCTTTAATTTACTTTTTCAGCAGTTATTCTTACAAAGCGATCTTTCAAAGCTTAGTGATTCTGTGGCAAGTCACTAATTTATCTTTTAGTATCCATGTGTACAACACTTTTAACACTTTTCATACAGAATGTTTTTCCCATCTTTTAAAGTTGTGGGCAATCCTATTTAAAAATTATCTCAGAACTTGCTAATTCCATTTAGAAAAAAATAGAACTTTAAATTATGTGGATTTGCAAAACTGCTTACTAAACCAACTGCTACCTAAAGACAACTAAAGTAGCTTTTCTAAAGATTTCTTCAGAAGAAATAATTCCTGGAGTAAACATCAGTTAGATTCTCAAAATGTGCCATGGTTGCATTGGCAATCAGATAGTGGGACTGCTACAGTTGTTTCCAACAGGTGGGTATGTGTGTGATACAGCTCTCTATTTAGTGTTCAAGATGAGACAGACACTTTTTCTCGTAAACACGTTATTCTTAGGAGGTGGATTTGCACGCCGAGTGCAATAAATTATTGAAAAGCACCCTAATGGCTCGCTTTCCAATTGTATTACAAATAAATCTGAGAAAGGGCCTTCCTCATCAAATAAAATTTGTTTGAATTCTAATAACAAAAACAATCATTAAGATAAATTATGTATGTAGTGAGTAGCAAACAAAGTGGTAGAATATTTGTCGCTGGTGAGAAAGCAATTCCATAGTACAGAGACATTAGAAATTACTTGGCAAATCTTTATGTACAATGTATTTATTTAGTTGCAAACCATCTACTCTTGGAAGGAACTTCCTTTTCAACAGTTGTGCTTTGGCAAAAACAGCCCTAGGGACATTATGTCCTAGGATTGTTGACAAAAGTGAAAGTCCTCTGTATGTTCTCATCCCTAAGAAAACAAACCATTAGTTCACATTCACTTTCATTCTCAGCTTGTCTCTCCTGCTAGGATCACAGCTAAGAGGTGCTCATCCTTCTTTGGCTTTAATATAAGAACCGTTGCATAGAACTTCATTTTCTTTTGCTCATCTGACAGGAGGTGTAACCGCTGATCCTTCTAGTTTTCTTCTCTAAGCATCTTCTGATCTTCCTGGCTGATAACCTTCTTCTGCTCCATTCCTACTTCAGAGATCCCACCAGGTTTAGCTTATTTACAGGTTTGCCACGAGATTTTTTCCCACACATTTAATGTCACATGCCAAGATGGGGAAAAAGAAAGGGGAAAAAAAAGTATTTTTCTTCAAATGTTGAACAGAGGCTTTAATAGGAATAGAAAGGGGAAAACACCTTCACAGTTGTACTGTCTTTAGTTCTGCTTCACTAGTGAAGATCCTTCTGTCTAGAGTTTATGAGTTTTACTCCTGATGTTTAAATAAGCAGTACACGTTTTCTTTCTTCTATCTGCCAAAGACAGGGTGAAACTATATAGTACCTAAATTTAAAATAGACAGTTATGTGGAAAATAGACATTTGTCAAACAGATAAATATTTCTGAAGTTTTGAATACTGGAATTAGGACCAGATTTTTTAAAGGTGTTAATTACCTAAACACATAAAGAAGCACACAGCAAAGTATTCAGGTTTCTAGGTGTATGTCTAGTTCCCAATCAAATTCATTAGCACTCCTGAAAATGTCAGCAGTCACATAGGGCTACCTACAATCACTGAGGACCTGTGGAGAACATGGATAGTCAGTTATCTTCAGAAATCTAGTACTTAGCTCTCTTGTAAAGTTCACTCTTTATGTTAATGACAAAGAACAAAACAAATAAACCCCAAGTCAGCAAACCAGCCAACTGAAAGCCTGAATTATTTCTTATTCAATGAATGACCTCTAGTGGTCATTTATCACAGCTTTTACACCAGTTGAAATGCCAGCTTGATAGAGTTGCAAAAGATGGAGCATAAGGATCAGATTTTTTCAAAACTGTTTTCTATACAATTTTGGTCTACCTCTGTTAAAATCGTATTCTATTTCACCTTACTACGTGTGCACCCTGGGAACTCTGCAGAAGTTTTAAGCCTGAGTTCTAGCATCTGCACTGCCCCTAGCTCTTTCTCTTTCCTAGCCAGTACCTTCCTCAATCTACCTCTTTGAACTTTGTCAGAGACACCCTTCCATCGTCCAACAAAGCCTTGAGTATATCCTGTTATTTTGATGACATCTGTTCAGCTTCTCATAACATCACTGTATTTCCTGAAACTGGCCACCAACCATCATCTCTCACTTCTGGCCAAAACAGATCATTCTGAACACTGACGGAACATGGAGTGAGTTTATTTGTCTAAAGAGCAAACTCAGCAGATGTAATACTTGCAACGTAATTGGGAAGAGAGCTGTAATCCTCAGTATTGTGGGACATGAAAGGAAGTCCGAGTTAAACATTCAGCAGTATGTCAGAAAACAAGTGGTACTCTCATCACTCAGGGTTTTTATCAGCATTTCTGCTGATCTTTCTTTGTGGCTTCTTTAAACAGCTGTGCCACACTGTTCTGCTGGACATACATATCAGTCCAATTATTAAAGAATTTATAAAAAGCTTTTGCTAAAGACAGAAAAGGTTCCCAGAAATATCTCCTCTATTCCCATCTTTGACCTATGGGACTTACACAGGACTTCCTGTATTTTATTTTGAATGTAGATGAGCATATGTCTGCAACCCAAGCTGCATTACAGGGGAAGTATCCACATGATAATTTTGTTAATCTCAGGTAGCTTTTGATGGTCATCTTTTCCACTACACAAACCTGGTGACAGAGGAAAAATAGCACCTCCAACAGGAGACCAGTGAATAAGGAGTTTATGGTTAAAAGCCATTAGAGATTGCTTCATGGCCCTATTTCCAGTGTTGAGAGATATTTGAAAAGAACTTAAACAAAATGTTTTATCTTTTTAAAAGACATTCTAAAGTTCTTGCTTACTAGAATGGTGTCAAAAGAAGAATGATTTATGTGAGAAATAAAGTTTGGAAACTCTGCTGACAGAACAACAATGAGCCTTTTCTATGTAGGCAGCATAATCTACATTGAAAATGCTATCTTTAAAAAAAAAAAAAAAAGGAGCAAATCTGCAGACAGCCTGCATGACTACCTGAGTTACTCTGCTCTGGATATTTTGCAAGAAAAAAAAAAAGAATAGATGCATCTTTACATGAGAATGACATGTCAACAGAGTTTGATCACTATGCTTAGCAGAGGAACAATTCCAATATTAAATGAATTTCTCCCCTAATTTCTCATTCATTTTATTGTAAGTGACAACTGTAGGTGGATTCTAGAGAATGCTTCATTAATACTGTTTTTCCTCCTAGAAGTCAGAGAACATGCATCTTAAAGGTAATATTTATAGATAAGGCATTTCTAGGTTTGTATATCAGTCATATACAAGTAGGTGGTCAGTGTTTAACCATCAAGTATTAAATGAAATTATTAGAGAATACTTAATCTCTAGTTTGCAGTCAATTCTAATTCAGACATTCCTTTTATGTTATAATTGATGTCTGGAAGCTATTCAAAATAATCTTATAGAATCATAGAATCATTGAGGTTGGAAAAGACCTGTAAGTTCATTAAGTCCAAATGTTAACCCAACACTGCCATGCCATTTAGCACCACTAAACCATGTCATCAAGCGCCACATCTACACATTTTTTGAACACTTCCAGGGATGGTGATTCCGCTATTTCTCTATGCAGCTTGTTACAATGTCTGAGCAGCCTTTCAGTGAAGAATTTTTTCCTAATATCCAATGTTTTTGAATATTTTGAATCCTAAAGCTTGATTTATCTCTCTTATTTCAATTGACATCTTGGGACAGGATGTCTGGTGAAACACTGTAGTGGTGGTTCCTTCCATGCTGTGATGTACCTTATCTAAATGTGTGGTTTTACTATAATATTCTACTATACTATATATGCATATATATGTATACAATATTTTAGAATGTTAATGCAATCATAAAAGGTGATCTGTTTTAGGAATTGCTGTTCAGAAACAGTTTTTTATCACCTCTAAGATTATGTCATTGTCTGACCAATAGTGTCTGTATTTGCAGACATACTTCACATTTCACTAGTATATGGTCCGTTCATCAGGTTTTTTCCAACATTTTCTGGAAGGAATCATGCAGCTCCCTGCCTTCAATCTGTTTGGGTGGCATTGTGCGTACATGCTAATTAATACAACTGCATTTTCTTCTCTTTCAGTTTTTCGAACTCTAAATACCATTGCCTAAAACTTCACCTGTGCTCAAAGCCTTGTTTTTTCAACCTCCAAATCAGAATCCAACATTTCTTCACAAAGTAGGTGGCAAGAAAGACCCCATGATGGGACTCCTTGCTGGCAAGCAGCTGACCAAAGCAAAACTCCTATGCAGACCATTTAAAAAAATCTGCTGGTTTGCTCCCAGCCAATGAGTGAGTATTACAAGGGAGCCAAATGGACCTGTAAGAAGTCACTGCTGCATAATTAGGTGGGCTGCCTTTATTTTGGATTTAATTTACATCTCTTGCAAACCACCGTCTTTCCACTGTTGTCTCAGACTGCAGAATGAACAGTACCTATTTCATCAAAATAATTATAATAAAATAACAGTAGAATTTTAAAAAGAATGTGACCACAAATAACTTTGAGAATTACTCTCAAGCCATGTAAAACAACGTTGTGCAAAGCACAGGTAACCAAGGACACCCTAGAAATAACTGGATAGTCAACAGGGGGAAGCTCTTAACTCACCTTTCTACAGCACTGTGCTGGTTCTCTCTCCATGCTTGGGAGACCACTGCTGATTAAAATCCAGGCCCTGGCTCTGTCATTGTTTGTCATGGTCAGAATACAGCCAGGGACCATCTGTTGAACAGTTACTTGCAGGACAACATGTGGTATAATGTTCTAGTCAAGCCTAAATAAACAACTGCAATTTTTAAATTTCTTAGTTAATTGTATTCATTCCATCTGACCTTCAAATTGCCTAAGAGCATTTCCAACTATTTTTTTCTTGATTTCAGAGACATCATCTACCTTGGATAAGGATTTTAAGCTTTTAATCCGAATATCAATACATGCTTTTAAACCAACACCTTAGTTTCTTTGGAAGGATGTCTTTCTGATATAGCAGGAGTAAACATTGATCCACAAAGAGGGCCTTTTTATTTTCTGTTAAAACCATCAGAGAACAAACATGCTACAAGATAGATTGTGAATAGACTAACGTTTTTATAGTACATGTAATTCCTGTAATTACAGCACTATTCCACCTTTAGCACTTAAGTGCTAAAGCATTTTCTTCCTTGAACTAACATAAATGGGCTAATATTTATACAACAAATGCCACTCCTGTTAGCATGGCATCGCCTACACCTTAAGATTAGCACCTGACTGCTAGAGCAGTTCAGTTCTGGAAATAAGAACCCAAGAACTTCTGGTTCTAAATTCACAATTTAGAATTTAGACATTTCCTAGAGCACAGCATGGGATTATCTTTGTTTGCCGAGGAGATCTTTGTAAGGTGGGAGATTCAATCGAAACAGTCCTTGCCTTTCCAGTCACTCATGACAGCACCACCACTGATGTTAACTCTACTGCTTCTCAGTTTCATCACCTCCAAGCTAAAGTTTTTCAGCAAAGCCCCATCTTACTTCAAAGGCAGGGAAAAGAGTGCTCTGCTCTGGCTGTGTCTTTAGCTTGCCCTGCCACAGAATAACGCAACAGCCACTCCACACCTTCCCCTGGCCCACAGCTTTTCCTGAGGGGCAGAACAGCCTCTCCTCTGCGTGATACTGGAGAAGGTTGGGAGCACCACACACAAGAGAGAACACCTCCGCTGTGCCACCCAAGCTTAATATCGTAGTGGAGAGCGGCTGAGAAGCACAGGATCATTTAGATTGGAAAAGACCTCTGAGATCGCCGAGACCCAACACCACCTTGTCAACTAGACCATGGCACCAAGTGCCACGCCCAGCCTTTCCTTAAACACCTACAGGGACGGTGACTCCAGCACCTCCCTGGGCAGCCCATTCCAACGTCTAATCACCCCTTCTGTGAAGAAATTCCTCCTAATATCCAACCTAAACCTCCCTTGATGCATCGCAAGACTATGTCCTCTCGAACGAGGTGAGCTGCGTTGGTGGGCGCAGGGCCGGGTCGCGGGCAGTGGCAGGGATACCGGCAGGACATGGCCAAGGGCAGTGACGTGGAGAAGGAGAGGGACACGGACATGGACATGGACATGGACATGGACATGGACATGGACATGGACATGGACATGGACAGGGACAGGGACAGGGACATGGACATGGACATGGACATGGACAGGGACAGGGACATGGACAGGGACAGGGACATGGACAGGGACAGGGACAGGGACAGGGACAGGGACAGGGACACCACGATCTGCCGCGGCACCAGCGGCGGAAGTGGCGCCTCGCGCGGCCCCGCCCCCCCGGGCGCGTCACGGCGCGGCGCACGCGCGTGCGGCGCTCCTGCCGCCGTCCCTCCCTCCTCTCCTTCCCTCCCCTCCCTCTCTCTTTCCCTCCCTCCCTCCTTCTCTCCTTCCCTCCCTCCCTCCCTGCCGCCGAGCCGCGGCTCCTCCCTGCACCACCTTTGGCCGAGCCGCGGGTGTGCGCAGACGGCACAGCTCCTCGGCGGCAGCGGCTTCATCCTCGCCGAGCATCAGTCGGGAAGGCGCGTTTTCCTCCCTTCCTCCTGTTCCTCCTCCTCCTCCTCCTCCTCCTCTCGCTGCCCCCGCGGTCATGGAGCTGCCCGAGAGCCAGTGCAAGAAAGTCAAACTGAGCAACAGGGTGCCGAGCTGGGTGAGCGGGCGTGCGGCGGGTCTGCGGGCAGGTGGGCGTGCGGGGGGACAGCAGAGGGAAGGAAAGAAGGAAGGAAGGAAGGAAGGAAGGAAGGAAGCAGCGGCCGAGCTCCATGGTGATGTGGCAGTGGGCGGCAGCGGCAGCCGGGACGGGGGGCTCCCTGCTCCGAGCGGGGAGGGATGCGGGGCGGAGGGCGCGGCGGTCCGAGCCCGGTAGCGCAGCGGCAGCCCGGCCGTGGAGCCCGGCGGGCGCGCCCTGGGGGCTCCTCTGGCGAAGGGCAGGAAGCCCTTTCGGAGGGGACCGGGCGTCTGGAGGCTCTTCCGCCGTGAGCCCTCGGCTTCCAGCGTCTTGGAAGAAGGAAGGCTTAAGAATGCGATGTACAATGTGGCCATTCATAAACCTGGGTTGGCCAAAGACTGAGGTTCTTTGTATGGCGGGTGTGATGTGGAAAACTGTCGAGACAGGGCTTAAAAAAAACCTAACCAAAGCCTTCATTCTTGTTCATAAAGGTGGGGGAAGATCGGTTTACAGCAAAGACCAAAATGCAGCTATTTAGAAGATACATTGCAGGCCTTTGAGAACATTTGATAGTTTCGATGATACAAGACAAGTGGGGAAAAAAAAAAGTACGATTTATTTCAACCAATGCTGAGCTGAAACAGGCGAGACATAAGATCCAGAAAACATTTGATATGAACATAAGAGTGTAAATCAGTCTTTGAAGTCTTGCTGTGAGTAGTACAGGCCATGCTTTTCCTATTAAAAGGAACTCTTGCCTGAAAAACGGGGAAGTTGGTATGGTACTAAAAACTGTTTGGTAGATGTTGTGCCTGTCCAAGCCTCCTTCGCTGTGTACAAGTTCACACTTGTTTACATGAGAGAGTAATTGGTAAGTTACATTCTTTCAATTTGCACAAGGAAAAAGCAAAATCAGATGTGTAGAAGATAATGAAATAGACGATGTCTGGATGGGGTAACAAAGTGTATTTAAAAAGTTACTCTGTATTATTTCATTTGTCATAAGCAAAGCCAAGATGGATTTGTCCAAACCAGGGAAATACATTAACAGACATTAAGTATTTGCTGAGTTCAGCTGAGGTTAGCAACCCCCTCTATGTTACTGGCAAGCAGAGGAAGTCTTCCGCTTCTCCTTTTTTTCTTCAGAAGACCTCAACTGAAATGCTCTTTATAAACCAAGAAGCTTCACCAGGAACAAAAATGCTGCTGATTCACACGCTCCACAAATGTTCTGGCACTTCTGACTCTCTGTCTGTTCAGCTGAGAGCAAAGTCAAAGCAACTTATTATACCCTAATGGAATCGGCAGCCCCTAGGAGAGTAGGCAGAGCCTTGTCTTCCAAAATCTCTCTGTGCGTCCAGCGCCATTCAAAATACACCTCTCTCTCTGTGGAAGTGCTGTTGCCAAGCCCCCTTCTGAGCACAGCAAACTCCCCAGTTACAGAGCAGCACATAGCGTAGCTGCAAACACTGCCACTACACTAGCTTGATAGGAAGACATTTGAAACACTTTCTTTAGAGTGCCTTGAATTCCTAACATGACAGGTGTTGCATCATTTTGCAGGTAACTCTTAAAGAGAACTTGCTCCAATTCTTGTTCCTGAGAGCATATTCAGTGGAGTAATTTCTAGCTTTGTTTCTTGTCCATCTCCTCTGATGCCAGCCAGTGAGTCCACTGGTGAACAGGCTGTCTCTGCCTTTGGTCATGCTGTTAGTGCAGCAGGTGGCACATGAAAATACACTCCTCATAGTATGATCAGCACTGAGTTGCTTGTATACACAGTACTGTAGAAGATTCTGGCTGATTTCTGCTGCTGTGATTTTTGAAACTGTCCCAGCTTTAGAGCATCTGGCGAGGGTGATATAGTCTATATAAGTGGCAGGAGAGTGTGCATTTGGCAGATTGGGTGGTGCTACATGCAAAGGTGTTTAGATGTCTTCTTGTATCGGTATCACTGTGGCAAACTGCTTTCCAGTGGGCATTGTGAGAATCAAAGTAAGAATTTTTGTTGTTAGTGGGAGAAAATGTAGTGCTGTAGGCTATGTTAGAAAATGGTTTGGGGAATTGTTAGGTTTTTAAAAGACTAAAGGATCTTATTGCTCAGGTATAATTTCTGGGCTTGCCCTTCTTTTCCCAAGCACAGTTGTCCAAGTCAAAGCACAAATTTTCAAACCAGAATTTGAGACAGTAACTATTGGAAGGTATTTCTGGCAGATCTTTTGGTAAGCAGGTACTGAAACCTCATGTAAATATGCAGTTTTAGTGTCAGTGATAGTTGAATTTTTGTGTTGGAACTATATCTGTTCTCCTTGCTTGTGTTTGTATGTAGACAGAGAAAATGGGCGATGTTCCATCTGCTTGAGTTGCTGTTTGGCCGTTGAGCCAGTTTGGAGGGAAAAAAGAAAGCTTTGGTTGAATTATCAGAGGTGAAGAATAAACATCATAAAAATGTGTTGTTATCAGGGTATCCCTGATAACAGAGGCATATGGTGGGCAAGTTAGCAAATAGCTTAAAAAAAAAAATCTATGACGATTGGGAAATGAGAAGGGCACTAAAAGTAAGATTGCAATTCAGAGACGAGGCTACTTGTGTGCTTTTTTGAGCTTATGGGAGTTCTTAGCTTGGAGAACCAACGATGTCATCCTAGAGGATTGGAATTAGTCACAGCTTCTTCAGTATATACAGTTTGTATACACAGTTCCTTCCTGATACTTCCGACCTCAAAACTGTCTCAAGTTGATGCTGTAGCTTGGGGTGTGTCTGCTTGCCATGGAAAGATTTACTTCCTTCCCCAGAGGTCTTGCTTTGTGAAAAGTTAAAATTTAATGTAAAGTGACTGTAAAAGCACAATGTTTCATTGTTGCTATGAAGTAATGAAGAATAACTTCAGTTTATGCCAGTGTATGTGCCATCTGTCTGTTAACTATGAAACAATAAATCAATAATCTCTTCTTTTGGCTGTTTTTTGATCTTGGCATTGCAACTTGGGTTTGCTTTTCTTTGTCTGGATGCCTATCTGAGTTCTTTCATCAAAGGTATTAGGCGCTAATAGTCTGGTTTGGCTTTGGCAAAGAAAAATTATAGATGCAACTTGGCAAAATATCAAGGAAGACAATAAAAAAATTAGGTCATCTATCTCAGCAAATCTGTACATAGAGAAATGGACAGAGTATTTCCATTTGACTGCCATCATCTTTCTTTTGTTCCTGTGGTTTTTGGATATCTGTGTTTTATTTCCCTGGACAACTACCTGCAAAGCTAAAATTTTACCTTTATGCCAGAAAAAAATAAACTGCAGAGTCATCCTTCCTTGCTTTCTTATCATTGCAGCTCTCCAGTGCACATTTCAGCAATTCAGATTTCACGTGAAGCAAACTGTAATGAATCACAGTGGAGTAAAGCATTATTTGTGTTTAACATGTTGAGCAGGAGGGAAAATATTAACATGCAGGATTTTTCGAAGTAATGCAGATGCACTAAATTTGTATCTCAGGGTGGAAGACGTATTTTTGTGGGCATGTCAGAGAGGAAATATCCAATGGTTGTAAAAAAGCAGAAGACCTTTGTGATTAATGCCCTTTTTTCAGTAGCACTTTTACAAAAATGTAGTGTGTCCTTTCAGTAGTGACTATTATAGTGAATGCAATAGGCTAAGAATTTTAAAATAGCTTTTTCAAAGGGTACTTGTGCATTACACTGAGTTTTTCTATTACACATTTTCATATGTTTAATTTCTTTTAACATTGGTAATACAGATCTCCAAGGTGAGAGATGCTTTGACAGTGTGTAAGAGGAAATGACTATTCTATATTTCTGATATCATTTTGGATGACCGTTTAATTTCATCAGTTGATAGTCATCAGATTTTATGTAGTAGAGTTTGAAGACTGGCTAAATAATTTAAGAGCACAACCAATACGATCCAGTGAATATTTTTCTGTGCCACATCAGTATTGGTAGTAAGTGTACATGTCAGGGATAGTAATTAAAAACTTAGATTGTTGAAGATCTAATGTTCAGCTAGTTCAGCTTTAGTTGCTCAGTGGTAGTAGCAAATCATTTAGAAGCAAAGTGGACATGATTAGGCAACTGCTTTTCTTTTTTTCCTCAGAAACAGAGAATGGCTTGCTA